AGCTGTGGCGAGCCGGTCAGGGCGCACTGGCGAGGGGCGTGTCCCGCCGGGGCTTGGGGGTGGGGGGTGAAGTGGGGCCTGCGCCCGCCTGGCCTGTGATGCACACTGGGAGGCAGAGACACCCGCGCCAGCAGGCGAGGGGCACGGAGCGGGTACGGGAGTGCCGTGGGCTGGGTGAGCAGTGCAGCACCAAGTAAATCCCGACGGCCATGCGGGTGTCACCGGGGCCTGTGACAGCGCAGCGGGTGAGAGGTGCCGGACGAGCAGCAGAAACTGGCCCGAGGAGCCCCCAGTGTGACAGCAAGTGGCTTCCCGGTCACTGCTGCAGACTGTGTCCAACAGTGTGCGGGGGCGTCCTGGCTGTGATTCCCAGGTGCCAGCCAAGCCGCCTGTGCCACGCGGAGAGTTTGCAAACGTGTGTGAGTCTGCGTACGTGACTTCCCCGGTGTGCGAATCCGGGTGTGTGGGGGTGTCAGGCTGGGGGTATGGCTGGTGCAGTGTGTGTAACTGTCGTGACGGGTGATGCGTCGTCCACGCATGTGTGAACTTCGGGTGCACACAGCTGTGAGTGTGTGGGTGACCCCGGCAGATGGCTGGCATCTGTGCAAGGGGGTTTGGGTGCGGCACAGCAGCCTTGGCTACAGCAAGGCAAGAGGCTTCCAAATAAAGCCCAGGGAGCTGGCTACCTCGTGGGGAGCTTTGTGGGGTGCATCTGATATCAGGTTGCAAGAGGACTGCGAGCCCGAGGAGGTCTGGTGCCCCATCGGTGAGTGTGCTTCATTCCCCTTAAGCCCTGGCCCCTGCCAGCCATCACCCGAGAAGGGGCCAGCCTCCTGCACACAGGTCAGCAGGTCAACACCTCCCGCTGATCCCCAGCCACAGGGGTAGGTGGTGAGCAGGCAGAGCGGAGGCCTCTCCCTTGGGCCAAACACAGCACCTCCCTCTCTGTCCTTTGCTACGTTAGATGCTGCTTGTAGCTCTTGACACAGCCCCTCTCACCTGTTCCTGGCCCCTGGCAGACATCAGTAATCAAACATGCTGCTTTTCCCCCCTGAATCTTCCATTCACTTTTGCACTCACTGGCCAGACCTGACGGCTCACTGGTCCGATGCTGGAAGAAAGGACTTGACCCGGTAATTCTATTTTCCCTCCATGCAAAACAGGACAGTTTTACGGTCAGGCATGACATGATGGCACTCTGGTTCCTCACAGACCGCGTCTGTGACGGAGGAGCTATCACTAGCTGTGTGCTGGCTACGTCATCTGGTTTGCGCAGCCACACTCTGACATTCTCACAGTGACATCCCAAAGAAGCGTTTTCCAGGACACTATTAAGCCACACGTGCCTGCACGCCTCCCCCACCACCCTGCTAATGGATGACGTCCCCACCTCCTCTCTGGGCATAGTTCCTAGAGCACATGGCTAGTCACCCGTGGGGGTGCTGCCTCTGCCCCGTCCCTTCCGCAAGCAGCATCCCAAATCCATCACTCTGCTCCCGCCTGGTGATCCCTGTGCTGCCTGGTGCCATCCTCCTGTCTCCCTGGCCAAAGTCTGGGAGGATCCCTTGGGGCAAAACAGGACGCTCCTGCTCTCTCTCCTCCCGTGCCCAAGGCCAACTCTGCCAGGCCGACACTGGGTGCTGCCTCACTCCCTTTCCTTGCTCACAGCAGGCAATTAAGGAGAGCACTGTGCCGGGGAGCCTCCGCCCCTCCCCCCCACTGCGGACCCCTGCAGTCCTCTCTCCTGCGCTCCAGGGCCTGGGCGCATCTCAGCTACTGCGCTTGTGTGCGGAGCCTCCCACTCTTCTGAGCAGAAACCAAGGCCTCGCCGCTGCGAGGCCGCTGCGCCCTGGCCAAGGCAGACTGCTGCTGGGTCGCGATCAGCCCGTCCCTGCTGCCCCTAACCGGCACATCGCAGGACCCGGCTGTGCGACCCTCGGGCCCGCCCGCGCGGCCTGGGCGGGGTCTAGGCGCACGGCCTGGGCGGGGTCTCGGCGCACGCGCGCTCCCCAGGCGCTCGGCTCCCCGCCGCGCCGTCCCAGGGCCCGCGCTCACCTGTGCCCTTCACCTGGAAGTCAGTGCGCCGCTGCAGCGTGGATGGCAGCTCGTTCAGGCGCAGGCTCAGCTGCCGCTTGAAAGGCGAGTTTTTCTGGCTGAGGGCCGGGAACCCGCGGAAGGAGCCCTGGCGGACCAGCTGCTCTAGGGGCGCGTGGCGCCGCGGGATGGCAGCCGCAGTGGTACCTGCGGCCACCGGCGTGCCTGCCTCGCCCTTCTCACCAGGGGACGTGGTGGCCGGTGTCGGGGACACATGCCCGGGCTGGGCAGGGCCGGGAGCCGCGGAGGGGACAGCCGCTGCCTCTGCTGGAGACAAGGGGAAACGGCTGAGGTCTCACCTTGGCCTGGAGCCCCTGTGCCCCCTTGATCATTCAAGATGGAGGCTGCGTCCCCACTGGGGCGGCCTGCCCTTCCCCAGGCGCGGAGCCCCAAAGGTGCCTCACTCCCACCAAGAGCGGAGATCAAGACCACCTTTCCCCGAGGTCCTTCCCCAGAGGTCACCCCAAACAGACCCTCTGGCTTTCTGCCCTGGTCTGCTCCCTCTGCTGTATCTGCCGTTTTCCCTCTAAGACCTTCTGTCTCCTCTTCTGGTTTAAGAATCTAATTTAGTGAACACTTACTCGGTGCATGACCAGCAAGTATCATTCCAAATGCTCGGCTGTCATTAACCCATCCCACCTACACCCCCACGGAGGCCGACTCGACCATTAGCCCGTCTTGCAGATGTGCACACTGAGGCCCAGCGTGGCAAGTGACTTGCTGCACGTGCAGGAAGGGACAGGCCATCTCCCTCGGCTAGCCCCCCCATCCCGCAGCCCCCAAACCTCCTCCTTCCCTCCAGTCGCTGCCCACTGTTCTAGACCCCTGGCACCTCTCCACCCCGGGATGCTTTCCTGCTTGTTCCAGGCCACAGCCCGGGCTCCCCCTTTGCTGGGACCGTGCTCCGTCCCCTGGGGGTTCCTGGTCACCCCACTCAGCAGAGAGACAGGTCTTCAGTGGCAGGGCCTCTGCCTCCTGCCCTTCCTCTAAGCCGGGTTCTCCCAGCTGCAGCCCAAATGCTGCTGCAATTAACTCAGCCCCAGAGAGGGCAAGGAGCTCCCCCAGTGCCGTCGGGTGAAGCAGGGGGGCTCTCACTCCGGCCAGGCTCAGGGGGTGGTCCTCCGGTGACCGCAGGAAGCCCCCTCCCTGTCAGGGCTCCAGTTTCCTGACTCTAAGCCTGGGGTGGACACCCCGAAGCTGCCTCCCAGGAGGCTGCACGGAGCAGGTGACTGCTGGAGTTCCAGAATCTGACCAAGGCTGGGAAGGGCACAGGTCACCGTCTACGCGCCTCCTCTGTGAGAGAGCGGCGGGCAGCCCCTTCTGGAGGCCAAACAGGCAGTGGGGCACTGGGCAAACCGGAGGCCCTCTGGAAATGCCCCTTTTGCTGGGGGCGTGGGGGGCGGGGGCAGTGAAGGCCTTCCCATCCTGCCAAGTGCCTATAACGTCCTCTGGGAAAGGCAAAACGCTTTGCAAACTCCACCGCGTGCGGCCACCTCTCCGTAAAGTTCTCGCAGCAGGTAACAAAGCGGCACTTGCAGACTTGCAGACTGTGGAGGGCAGCACAGCCCGTTTGCTCTCCTGCTCACAACACGAACTTCAGATACTCTCAGGCTCCCTGTTCAGGTCCCTTGGCTGGTGATGAAATTCTCTGCACATACTCACAGAGGATGCGAACAGCAGATACTTGTAAAGAGGTTCCCGAATGTAACTTATAAAGAAAAATGTACTTTGTGGGCCCAACCTGGTGGCCGAGGGGGTTCCTGGTCACCCCATTCAGCAGAGAGACAGGTCTCAGGCTGTCACCACTATGGCCTGAGTTTGATCCCAGCCAGGGAGGGACCCCCAGGGCGCAGCAGACCTCTCCTGTCTCCCCACTGCTCCCCTCAGCAGGGGGTTTCAGTCAGTCGGCCTGTTCTGCTCCCCACTCTGACTCTGGTCAGTCCTCTCACCCCTATACCCCGGTTCTTTGATGCAAAAATAAACAAAATAGAAAAAGAAAAACGTACTATGTGAACTCTGGTAGCCTAGCGAGGGATAAAAACTGCTGTTTCCCTGACTTGTCAGTCAGAAATAGCTAAACCCACAGAAAAGACAGGCTAATGGAACAGTGATGGCGTTCGCTCACCCTCCAGGCCTGGGACGCGTCTCTGCCTCCTTCCACGGCGCCCCTCAGCCTTCCCCCATTTCCGGAACCTCCCTTCACCTCCCTCCTCAGGACAGGGGCGGGCTCCTGCAGGACCAGCCTAACTGAACGCAGGGTGACGCCAGTCGGGTGACGCCAGTTGCTCCTCTCCGGTCCCAGCTCCAGCTCCCTGAGCTTGGCCCAATAGTGAACTTGATTGGTGTTTTTTTTCCACACAGAGGAAATTTTCACATTTCAAATTGTCATTGACGTACATTTCCCAGCACCCAGTTTTGGACCATACATGAACAGTGTGAAGACCGCTCGGGTCTGTAACGCCCTCCTCGAATCTCGATCAGTTCCCCAGGGCGACGTCTTTGTAAATTCTAAGCAGTGATTTCCCAAAAATTTTACAACTAGCGTCCACAGTAAAAAACAAAAAACATTATCTTATGTCTAGACACATAATACATGGACATCTAAAACACACAGTGCTTTAGACCAAAAAAATAAACACATGCCTTTCGCAGCAACATGGATGGAGCTGGAAGGGATCATGCTTAGTGAAATAAGCCAGAAGGAAAAGGAAAAATACCGGATGGTTTCACTCATAGCAGGAGTATAAAGGACCAGGGGGGAAGATAATAAGAATAATGAACAGCTATATACCAAAGACATTTTACGGGTAAAATGGGGAGTGGGATCAAAAACAGTGGGGGGAGGGAAATGCACAGGACTAAGGTGATGGCACACGGGTGATGGGGTGATGTGGTGATGGGAAGCCCATGGGATTGCAACGGAGACGGAAAAAGGCACAAAATGATGTTAAAATAAACTATTATATGATTTAAAAAATTAAAAAAAACACACTGCTTCAGAACCTACAAAGTGTCACCTGCACAGGATGTCAGCATTTCGTGGGCAACTTTCAAACTGTCTCAATGGCAACCAGCGTGAGCAACACCTAGAGGGAGCAGCCGGTTACACAAATGTCTTTACAAAAATCACAAAACCAGGGAACGATCACTGATCACAACCGTCACCACTCTCCTTGAGTCTGATATTTTTCTTTCATTTTTAAAAATACCAACCGCGCTCCAGCAAGCCGGCTGCGCAGCCCACTAGCCGGCTGGGAAGTAGTTGGTTGGCGGATAATAAAGTGCTCGGTTTTCGGGGACCCGTGGGTCACAGGACTGTGCCCAGGGGACCTCCCCGGAAGTGAGCCGTGCAGCCTGCACCAGACTCCGACGCTGACCTGTGTCTGCTGTGTCGGCAACAGCACCTCCCAGGTCTCCCCCCAAACTGGGCCTCCGGCCACCCGGCGGGCACCCACCTTTCTTCTTGTCCGGGGCCTCGCGCTCGGCCGGCCGCCCGCGGAAGGAGCCCTCCCGGGCGAAGCTGGTGCGGCTGGCATCGAAGGCGGCAGTGACCCCGCATTCCTTCTCCCGCCGCTGCTTCCGCTCCAGGCACGCGGCAAAGGCACAGCCCACAGCGTGGCTCAGCCTCTCACCCTGGGGGGACAGGGCAGACTTAACAATGGCAGCACCCAGGGGCCCCAGCAGCTTGACGCTGGGGGACCCCAAAAGGGCCCATTCTTCTCTCTGGGCTTCACCACATCTGCAGGAGATACACATGACAGCCCGAGTGCAAACAGCTCAAGACAAGACAATCCAGTGTGGCTCCATTTCTGTCAAGTTCCAGAACACACAAAACTAATCCTTGGTGAGAAAAGCCGGAGCAGCAGTTGATTCCTAGAGGTGGGGGCAGGCACTGTCCGGGAAGGAGCAGAGTGACCTGCCAGGGCAGGGGCAATGCTCCGGATGTAGTTAGCCAAGCTCAGCGCGAATGTCTGCTGAAGGTCGGCACACACGTGACTTCATTTCAAAAGAGAACGATCTGGAGAGGGGTGCAGGGGGTTAAGTCTCAGCACCATGAGGCTATTGGCAGCCACTGCAGCACGAGTTTGCTCCCCAGACAGGGGGTGACCCACATGGCCCAGCAGACCTCTCCTGCCTCCCCGCTGCTCCCCTCAGCAGTAGAGCTCAGTGGAGCTGCCTGTTCTGCTCCCCACTCTGTTTCTGGGGAATCCTCTCACTCCCTGGCCTGTACCCCAGTCCTTGTGTGCATAAATAAGTAATTTTTTTTTTTTAAAGAGAGAACGATCTGGAAACCAACACGAATCCTGCTTCATAGCATGCAAAGATCAGGGACAGTATTCTGATGGTTGCTGCTGTGAAATGCGTCCAAAAATGAGGGAGACTGATAGCTACGGAGTAAGCACAGGTAAACAGGAGTGGCAGGATCTGGGTGCCGGTTACCACTAGGCTTCGACTGCATGCTGCATGCTGGAGACATCTAATTAAATGTTGGGCGTGTAATAACGACTCCTATTTCTCGAAAAGCTCCAAGGCCAGACAGCCTGGGCTTGATCCCGGCTCCCGCTTGCCGGGGTTCTCAGGAAAATAGGTACTTCGCCTCCAGTGCCCCAGCCGCCCCCACTGAAAAGTGAGGGCCCTATTGGCAAGTACTTCACAGGACTGTTGCAGGAATTAAGGGGATTAAGATAAGCAAGGCACACAGCACAGAGCCAGGCACTGGCTAACTTCAGGAGATGTCGGCTGAAGTCTGTCCGTTTTACAGAACTCACAAGGGTGTTTGCTGGGGGATGTTCTTAGGAGCCTGTTTTACAGAGGAGGAAACTGAGGCTACTTGGACACATACGTCCTAACAAGATGCTTTCTGTTTTCTGAACCAAGATGCTTAGCTACCTTTTCCTTTTTTTGTTTAAAGATTGGTTTATTTATGCACACAGAACTGGTCCAGGCCAGAGGTTCGGGGGTGAGAGGGTTCACCAGAGACAGGTGGGGAGCAGAACAGGCAGATCTATTGAAACACACTGCTGAGGGGAGCAGCGGGGAGACAGGAGAGGTCTGCTGCACCCTTTCGGTCACCCCCCTAGCCGGGGATCAAATTTGTGCTGAAGCGGCTGTTGCTAGCTTCGAAGTGCTGGGCTTTAAGCTGTTGTGCCACCAGGGAGCGCCCCCTTTTTCTTTCTATTGTTGGATATACTTAACACCTTTCCATATGTCGCTTTTGATTTCTCCCCTAGGTGAAATCTCTGTGGTTCTCCACCCGCCACATTTCCAGTGAGCCTTCACCACAGTGCTCTGTCTCAGACACCTCTTAAAAAGCTAAATCGAGGGACCACCCCACCCCCAAATACCAGCAAATTGAGCCCTGCAACCTGTTGGAAGGATCTGCGCCGTGATCGAGTGAGATTTACCCTCATGCATGAGAGGTCGGCGCAACATCGCTGATGGAATTCACCCCGTGAAGCAAAACCCCACAGAACGAAAGAGAAGGAACAAGATCATCTCATCTGATGCAGAAACAGCATTTGACAAGACCCAGCGTCCTTTCATGACTAGAATAAGCAATAGCCTCGGACTAGGAGGAAATTTCCTGAACTTGATGAGAGACATTCATGAAAAATTCACAGCTGACATCATCCTCAGTGATGAAAGAGCGACCAAAAGGCATCCATGTTGGAATGGAAGAAGTGAACTGGCCTCTATTTGCAGATGACAAGATCTTAAAGAGAGAAATCTAAAGAAGCCACATTCCTGGTGTTAACAGATGGATTTAGCAAAGTGGCAGAATATCACTTCAATCCACAGAAATCGGCTGTGTTATATGCACCAGCAGCGGATGTACCGAGTAGGAAACGGACATCAGCCCATGCACAGCAGCAGCGACAGGAGTAACATGGAAAACTCAACAATGAAAAAAGTATTCAAAAATAAAATGGAAGAAGAGATGAAGGCCATGTATGCTGAAAGCTGTGAAGCACTGTTGAAGGGCCTCCCTGGTGGCGCAGGGGTTCAGTCTCAGCACTGTCCCCTTCCCCCTACGGCCTGATCCCCGGCCAGGGAGTGACCCACAGGGCGTGGCAGACCTCTGCTGTCTCCCCGCTGCTCCCCTCAGCAGTGGATTTCAGTGGATCTGCCTGTTCTGCTCCCCACTCTGTCTCTGGTGAGTCCTCTCACCCCCACCCCTCTGGCCTGCACCCCAGTTCTTCTGCACAAAAATTAATAACATTTTCAAAATAAAAAACAAACCAAAAAATGGTTGAAAAAAATGGAAGACCTCAACACAGGGAAACAGATCCTGTGTGCGTGGGCTGGAAGACTCCCTAAGCCAGCCAGCTCGCTGCCTGCTTTGATTCTCACCCCCAAGTCTCTTCCCACCACGGCAGCAGCCCGTTTATGGGACACCTGTAGGTTTTGCTTAGAACTTTCTGCGTGGCCGTCACGAAGGCCTCCCCAACCAACCCGGGAGCGGCTGCTGCCATTATCCCCACATTGTGGGCGAGGAAACTGAGTCCCAGAGAGCAGCCACTTGACCTGAGGTCCCACAGCCAGGCGGTTCGACACCGATCTACAGTTTTCCAAAAACAGTTGCAACAAATTTCTGGTCCCACCTGCTCCACTCCTCCATCGAGCAGGGATTCATGGTGTCTCCCCTTGGCCTGGGAAGACCTTGTTACTGTCTGGACGAGGACACCACAGGCGCAAAGCCATGTGGGTTCCAAGACCCACTGCCACAGGCAGCAGCGTCCTCCTGGCTCGGGCTGGCGCTCTCTCTCCTCACCGCCGAGCCGTGTGCCCCCAGGTGCAGCGTCCAGTTCTCCTGAAGTCTCCACGCTGCAGAGACCCATGGAAGGGCTGAGACTCTGTGAAGACAGAGCTGTCCAGCGGCCAATCTGGGTGTTACTACTGACTGCTACCCATGAGATGCTGGAGCCAGACCACCTGGCCCTGGGCTGGGCCTTTTCCAGATTCCTCATCTATAGATACCATGTGAGTTAAGCATGATTTACTTTTTTTTTTAAAAAAAGGATTTATTTATTTATGCATACAATAACTGGGGTGCAGGCCATAGGTGCAGGAGGTGAGAAGATTCACCAGAGACAGAGTGGGGAGCAAGACAGGAAGGCTGAGTGAAATACACTGCTGAGGGGAGCAGCGGGGAGACAGGAGAGGTCTGCTGGGCCATGTGGGTCACTCCCTGGCCAGGATCCAACTCAGGGTGTAGTGGCTGGTGATAGCTTGATAGTGCTGAGATTTAACCCCTGCTCCACCAGGGAGCCCTCTCCTTTATATTCTAGTATAAAAATTACGTGGTGGCCATGGCTGGCGCCTGGGAGACTGTCCTCTGGGTCTTCGTCATTCGCTTTATTTTGTGGTATAAATATTATGCGCCGTGAGAGTTAACTAACAACTGTAATCTTAATCCACTGGGGGCTCGCGCAATTTGTTAGACGGCCTCAGACAGCGCTGTACCAGCACAGCTTGTATGCCAGGTCTGGGGTGGGCCAGTGCCGGGGGAGCCGGCCTGCCAGCGTCCCCACCTCGGCTCCGCAGGCCCCCGTCAGCAGAGCTGAATCGATACTGACTCAACTTTTGTCCTCAAGACCTCTGGTTTGAGGTCTGAAATTATGAGTGTGTGTGAGGAAGCTGTGGGCACTGAAGAGTTCTGAGGGCTCAGAGCCATCTGGAGTGGGGAATTCTGGAATGTGAAGACCATTCAGGATGTGGGGGACACGTGATGTCTTACTTGCCCAGCATCCATTTCCCCTGCTTTTGAAGACAGCTGCCCAAATTCCCTTTGGGGAGCTCTTCTTCAACACTCTAAGTCAACCCCGTGCTCCACCACCCTGACCAGGCCCACCCATGTCCTCTCACCAGAATCTGAACCCGGCGTGTTGGGAGGTGGGTTCCTCTCTGCGGAAGTGCCCTGAGGTGGCTGCCCTGGGACAGCATCCCCAGACATCCTGCTCTGATGCTCAATGCCCTCATGCCCTCCGATTTTACAAGAACCTCACATCCTTCCATTAATTTTTGGACTCAAATTAGCCAGACTGTGGCCAACAACCAGGAAATACTACCTAATGTAGAGAGTGGAGTCTGTGGCTTCCTAACAAGCTGTGTGGGGTCTGAAGTCAGGGTCCAGGGTAGCAGAGAGGCCGTGTCTTCCACCATCTTTTGCTGGAGTGTTCATGTGACTAGTTTGTGACCAATGGGAAGAGTCTTACAAGCCTCCCCGAGTCTAAAGGCTTGCCCTTCTTCACGCCTTCCTTTATGCTGGTGGAGTGAAGGTGTGAAGGCTGGAGCATAGGCATCCATCTTGGGTCATGGAGGGGAAGCAGATTCCAGCTTAGCAGCAAGATAAAAGGGGCTGTGACCCCTGATAAGTGGCAAGAAGCCACAGCAGTGTGCACTGTGCATCACTGAAATCACTGTTCTTTGGGGGTTTTCTACCACAGCCCGCAGAATCCTGACATAAGAATGCTTCTGAGAAGCGGGGCCATTTGCTGCTTTTGTCAGATTCTCAGAGGGTCTCTTGTCCCCCACCCACAAATATAAAGACCCTCAACCCTGAATCAAGGTTGATAGGCTAGTGAGTACTACCCTGGGGGACGGTACTTGGAAGGGTCAAACATTCCCGGAGCTGTGCCGGGCCCCACCTCCCCCTGCTGCAGGTATGTGACCCTCCCCGAGGAAGGCTAACAAAGCATAAAGACCTCGAGCTGGTGAAGAAGAGAATGAGAACAAGTATTCCCCTGAGCGCCATACCAGACATGTCCTGAACACTTCACACGAACCTACCCTGCCCCACAATGATCCTCTAAATTAAGGGCTGGGACTGTACCCCCTTTTCCAGATGAGGACATTGGGCACAGAGAGGAGAGGCAACTGACTTGCTCAACTCCACGCAGCAGGCAACATGGGGCTGGGACGCCAGGGCGTGGCGGGGGAGCAGCCTGCAGGCTCTGGCCATACTCACAGAGTCCTTGAGAGCCAGGAAACAGTGACAGATCCAGCGGCGGGTGGTCCCGTCCCGGCAGATGTAGGAGAACGCTTTGTCCAGGTTGCGGTCGGGAGCACAGAAGGAGACTTTTTCGATGGTCTGGTCCACCAGCAGGTCCTGGCAGGGCCGGGAGGTCAGGAGAGGGAGGTGAACTGTCTTTGACGTAGTCATTCCACACCACCTTAGTGTCTGCTGGAGAGCCCACCCTGAGCAGGGTGAGACAGTTCTGGGGCCCTGCCTGCATGGGGCACCCAGTGCCATGTGGGCATTGGACCCCTGAATAGAGCCACAGCCAGGTTACAATGAGGGAGGCCAAGGGATCAGGGCCCGGATGGGGGAGGCAGGAACCCAGAGGAGGTGCGTGATCCACTTGGGGGTAGTCAGTCAGGCAAGACTTCCTGGAAGAGGTTAACGAACTTCGGGCCCACAGAATGGCTGGTGCAAAGGCATCAGTGCTGTCATATCTGTACCTGAACTCTCATGTCTGCTGGCTGCCTCCTTGGGCAGTCTCTGCAGAGGCTGGGGACCGCTGAGCAAAGAGATCCCAGCTCCTGGCCCCCTGGCTCACATCTGGCCGAACAGTCTGACAATAAGCACACCAAAGCTAGCACCCACTGGTCTGAGCAGTCTTGACACTATGTGCATGGACTTTCTCATTTAATAGCAGGGTCCCTATTAACCCCATTTCACAGATGTGGCAACTGAGGCCCAGAACAGTTTAATCTCCGGGGTCACCCAGCTGGCAAGCGGGAAAGCTGGGCTCCCAGCGAGGCAGCTGCTCCAATCCGTGCTGCCTCTCGCCCACCCTCTCTGCCAGCCCCCCAATAACCACAGGGCCCTGTGCCGCATTATGCCCACGCAGAGTGACACTGAAGGAACACGTGGCTAGTCCAGGAGGTCCCACAGTCGTGTCCCCACCGACCTACCTTGGTCTTGTCATCCACCACGCGGAGTCCATCGGCTGACACCCACAGGACTGACTTCACGGACTTCCTGCCCATCTGGGGGGTACAGGGAAGGGGCTGGTCAGGGCGGCCTCTTCCGCTGTGCCCTCGCCCCTCCCCGCCACAGTCTCTCACTCACCGCCTTCAGTTTCTTCACGGCATCTTCACAGACGTGCATACCCCGCGACTCTTCCACCTCCACGTGGCCCAGGTACTGGGGGTGCAGGGGAGAGGGATGAGGTGTGAGGACTCAGGACGCCTGGTGGTCACGGAGCAGCTCCCGTGTGCCACACGGTGTCGGAGCACACCGGACGTCCTGATGCGTTTAATCCGCACCTCAGTGCCACAGGGGGTTACCCCATTCCTAGCCCAGATGCCCAGATGAGAAAACCGAAACACAGCCCCTACGTTCAGTCCCGTCCTGCCTTCACACGTCACTGTCACCTTCTGAGTGCCACTGTCTGCACCTCCCAAATGGACCCTTCGCACTCAAGGTTTCCTTCTGGGTGAAGGGAAACAAGGTGCAGGGGCTTGGACCATCAGTTGTGGTCTCCGGCAGGGTAGGGGCTGAGCTGGGCCTTGCACCCAAGTCCCGGGCGCCATCATCACGCCTGCGTCCAGCTGTCTCGCTGTGACGAGTGGCGTGCGTGTTGCTGGGGGTCATGGTTGTCAAAACCCGCTAGAGCCCGGCACAGTGCAGGAAAGCTCTGCAAATGCTGCAGGATTTGCCACCTCAACGTGCATCCTCCAGGACCCTCTGGACATCTTGAGCTCTCCCCAAAATGACCCCAGGCAGTAGGACCCCACAGCACAGGTAATACCTTTCTAGTCCGGGGAGTGTTAGTCTGGGGAGCGGCGCCTCTGAGGACCCTCTGTCCAGAGCTGTCTCCGCGATTGCCCCGTCCCAGGGAGCCCCGCCCCGCCCCCACCACGCGCATGCGCAGCGCCCCCACTCACCCTGACCGGGAAGCTGCACGTGCCCTTGCGCACAGCGTCCTCGTCCGCCTGCCACTGGTGCGGGCGCGAGGCCTCGGGCACGTAGGCTGGCTTCCTCCGGCGCAGGCTCTGCCGTAACTTATTCATGGTGCCCGCCCCGTCTGGTGGCACACGAGAGGGGCATGGGTCAAGGGCTGGCGGAATGAGGGTAACAAGCATGGGGTCCTGGGGAGCCTGGGGCCGGCAAACTTGGGGGCAGGGTTGCCCGGTTAGGTGGTCGCTGGGGGAAGGTCATGACATTCAGGTAACAGGCGTTGGCATCCGTCAGGCGACACCGGGAAAGGGGACAGGCCAGGCAGGGGAGTGTGAGAGGCGCCATGCGGACTCAGAAGACATGGGGCTGAGGAGCTCGGAGGCCTGGAGGCGTGACGGCATTTCGGGGACCATGCTCGGGGACTGAATGGTCAGGAAGCATGAGATCCAAAGCAATGGGAAGTCGAAGCATTGCAGTCAAGGCACGTGGTGAGTGGGCATAGGGCTAGGGTCACGAGGTCGGGGGTTTTAAGGGTTCCAGGTCAGGGGGTCAGGTGGCCCGAGGACACAAGTTGGGAGTTGCAGAGTCAGAAGTGGGGGGGGTGGGGGTCAGGGGGCTCTGAAGGTCCAGGGGTCCAGGCCAGGGTGTTCCTGAAGGGCGTCTCAGGGAGTACAGATCTGCGCACCACTGTGTGCGGCCGTGTCCTGCTGGAGGCCCAGGGGGCCCGCCTGAGGGGCCGTGTGCCTGCGGTGCAGTCTGAGTGCTGCCTGGGTGTCCGTGGCCCAGGCGGCCGGCCCGCGAGGGCAGCTGTGTGTCAGTGGATGTTGCCCGTGAGGTGTCTCAGAGCAGGAAGCTGTTATCCTCAAAAAGCTGTCTTTGTAAGTGTTGTCTCTGAAGCTGTGGGTCTGTGAGGGTGCGGCTGTGGGAGTTACCCAGGAGATCACATTTGTGTCCAAGGGTGCAGCTGTTGGTGGTGTGGTGAGACTGTAGCTATTGCCTGGAACGGTGTGTCAGCGCCGACGGTAGCTATGGTAGACAGTGTGAGTCCTGCGCTGTTGGAGGGTGTCTCCTTAACTGTGAGGGGCCTGAGAGTGTGGGGTTGTCGTCTGGGCGTGTTCAGGGGCATCTGTGAGGTGTGACTGTGCAAGGATGTGGCCGTTGTCGGCAGTGCTGAGAACAGTGATGTGTGTGTGTGCACGCACACACGTGTGGCTCTTCGTGAGCGCCTGGGTCCATGGAGCCGCTGGCCGTCCGTTTAGGGAAGAGTGGCCGCTACCTGAGAAAAAGTCTGGGTCTGTGCGTGTTGTCTGGGAGACTGCTGGCTCCGTCCCCCGAGAATGTGTACCTAACGGTCTGCAGCGGTGAGTGTCTGCGGTGGCCTGTGTGAGGGAGCCTGGGTGCCGCCTGGCGCTGCGTCTGTATGGGAGACGCTCTACCTGTGGGTGCAGGTGTCTGGGCGTGTGGTGGGGGCAGTCTGGATGAGCTGGGTTTCGAAGGTCAGTGAGTATTCAGGGAAGATGTCTGAGGGTGTCCACTCATGCATACAATTAAGCTTGTGTGACTGCAGGGGGCAGACCCCTACACCACTCAGCCACTGCCCTGCCCCCCGCTCTCATGTACCTGGATCCGTCCTGGAAGTTTCAGGGGGCCCCGGGGCCCCACAGGGGGCTGGGGGCAGATGCTGCTCAGGCTTCCTGGGTCCCCCCTGCCCAAGGAAGTGAAGAGAGGTGAGAAGCTGCCTTGGGTGGGGTTCACTCCCCTATCTCACCCCCTCTTTGGACATCAGCCAACCCCCCTCCATTTCAGACTCCCTGACGGAGAGCCCTGGTTGTCATAGCAACTGTAACTAGGGAGATCAGCCACCTGGTTCCAAGGGCCCAGGAAGGAGTAGGTGTGCTCAGGGGCAACTGTTGGGGAGTCCTGGCCTCAGGAGGCCCCCTGGACTGATGGGGGTGTGCGGAGAGACTGGCCTCAACGCACAGTCGCATATGTGCAAGCGTCTCCTGTTGTCCCTACCACAGCCACAGACCTGCCCATATACCGTCACACGGGCACAACCACAGCTTACACACACCAGGCCCACACAGTCCTAGCCACTACAAACACTTGGTGTCACCTAGCCACGTTCTCCCCAGTGTCTCCAGACATCTGTTGTCGCGCACAGAGTCCCAACCTACCTTGACATTGCCACACATCTGGTCACATCAGCTTCCACTCTGAGGTCACTCCCAGTCTCAGCCACACACACAGAGCTGGGCCCAGGCACACCCAGCAGAGACGCACATGTACAACCACACCCGGTGACGGTTACACCCCCACGCAATGACCCCTGTCACGGACCCACCCATACAGAGGCTCACCCAGCCAGAGGTCAACTATTGATCACCCCTAAACGCCGAATTCCCCCCAGACACAACCAAGCCACACCAGCCACACACTTGTCACCCACAGCTCTACTGCTGCATGCTGACATCTGGTCACTGAGACACGCAGGGGCACACGCATCTGGTCACACACCACACTCCGGCCCAACACACGGCTGCACACGGGCACTCCGCCCCAAGTCTGCCGGTCACACAGTTGCACAGGAGTGGTCATAGAGTGGGCATCCGGTCACTTCCGTGGACAGAATTCCATGCCCCGTCACACAAAGGGACACGGATGGCCATGGCTCGTGCAGCAGAGAATCAGAAGGCAAAACCACGCAGAGACAACAGCCCCCAGGGTGGCCATGCTCAGACAGAGCCAGACATGCTTCAGAGTATCATGTATGCAAAGTCACATGGCTTCGGATCCACGCTACCCTGCGGCTATCAGTCCCAGTCCCCACACCCAGCCCCGGGCACAGCCACACGTCATCCCATCACCGAGTCTTTCTCCAAGCAAGTAAGAACACAAGTCACACAGACAAGCAGGGCCACACACAGTCAGAGCCCCGTGTGACAGGCACGCAACATCTCACATCGCAAGCACACGCCAGGTGTGTGCTGAGAGATGCAAGACGGAGCACTGATAAGCTGTGATTACCCCAAAGGCTCGGGTCTCCGACAGAGCCAGGCAGCGGTCCAGCCACTCACCCCACCACCAAATCGCACAGTTCCAACACAGCCGTGCAGAGGCAGGAGAGACACACACTCAGCAGCCACACAGCCACAGACGCACTCGCTGCCACAGACCTTGACACGCGACCCAGGGTCACAGAGGGGCGGGTGGCGGGCAGATACAGAAGTCACAGTCACATGCACAGCTCCCGCACACACACAGTTACCTGGTGCCGCCACAGACACACCTACAGCTGACGGCCACACAATGAAACACCACGCTATTAATAGCCTGGCTTTCGACCCCAAGTCAAACGCATCACCCGGACCACACACCCCCTGCTGTAAATGCACACCGTCGCGATCAACACCCCAGTGTCACACCGACAGAGCTGTGGACACACAACCACTGTCAGACACCCATCAGGTCACCACACATTCAAGTCACGGTGCTGTCACACTGGCACATAGGCACGCTGTGACTTCACATACAATGGCATTCACCCACCCAGAGCTGCAGGGGCAGTGGTATGTCACAGACACATGTGTGACACATAGAAAAGCCAGTGACAGACACAACCACATTGAGGGAACTGCACATGGACACAGAATCACAGACACAACTCCACTCACAGTCACAACTCCACCCACATCTTCAGTCAGCCACACACATGTCCAACCCCAGACTCAGCACAGACACGGTCACAGTAACGGCCAGCGAGGCACACACAGGGTCGCCGAAGACGTAACCACGGACACCACCACACGGCTACGCACACGCTCCAGAACGGACAGACCGAAAAGTACGGGGCTCCGTACGTGAGCGGTGTCACACGCTCACACAGAGGCGCCAACGCGGGGGGCACACGGAGACACAATCAGCGACACTGCCAGACGCAACCGCGAGCCGGAACACAACCAGACACGCTCCCTCGTGGTCTGCAGCACACCACCCACGGCACGGACACACCAGCACGGGGTCACACTCAGCCATCGCTCAGCTGCGTTCGCCTCACCCCCTTCCCCCCAGGTACCACACACAAAGCCACCCCGTCATCACAGACAGATGCTGCAGACAGACAAGGCTGCACTGAGTCCCAGGGGAGCCGCCCCCCATCCCAGCCTGGATCCGGAGCCTGGGGGAGCAAGACCAGGGGGAGGCGGCATATTGTCTGTGGGTGGGGCTGCTCCCGGACAGCTGGGCAGCCCCAGGGACAAAGGGGGTGGCCCAGGGGACCTCTGCCCTAGGACCCCTGACCAAGCCTTTGTGGGGGAAGGGGGGTTGCCTGAAATTTCTCATTTTATTCAGGGTGGGGGGTGCGGGTGTGTGAAGGCCCAGGCGCAGGGACCTTGTTTTGAGAAGGGGCTGCTCCTGGGACGCCGCCCAAGGATGAGTGGGGGACAGCCTGTGCCCTGGGAGCCGCTATGGTCAGGGGACAGACTGAGCCCGGAATCCCTCCAGGCCTTGCCTTGGTGGGGAAGCTGTGCTCAAAGAAAGACCACATCCTCGAGATCTTGCTGGGGGCTTGAGACTCCCCTCAGACCGGGAGGGGTCGGGGTTGCATCTGGGCTGGAATTGCGTCCCCGACGGGACGCCTGGCCTCTCGGCTTGATATGCGGGCTGTGTCCAGGACCCCATCCCCAAAATATTGCTCAGGGAGTTGTACCTTGAATTTAATCTCCTGTCCTTGATTTTTTTGAGGGGGACGTCTGTGTCCGGGATCCCTAGCTTCAGGGCCTTGGCAAGGGAGGGCCCGTGCCCTAGCCCCCTGTCTTCCAGGCTTACGCTTGGTGGGGGGCTGGTCCCCCACCTCCCACCTAGGACCACCCTCCCCAGCCTTGGCACCCTCTCTCCATCCGGGCGCCGCGGCCGCCTCCCACCCTCCGCCACATCAGCAGCGGCGCCGCCCCCCACCCGAGGCCCCCTCTCCCGCCCTTCTCACGCTGGCCGCCGCGCTGCGGGACATCC